CTTCTGTGTCTGTGTTAATTGGTTTCCCTTTTCTTTGTTGAAGAGGGTCTGTGCAATCCTTCTGCCTAGTCCGCCATCTTGCCCTGCCTCTCCCACAGTAAAATTTTTAAAAAATCTGTGTATGATGTTGTCACTATCCACAACTATCCAACCACTCACAAAAAAAAAATTTTAAGTCATCTTATGTGTGTTTGTGATCACCACAAAGTAACCGCTTACTTCATTGCTTTCTGAAATACAGGTTATGTTTCCCTTCTATTTTTATTAAATGCTGAGTAAAACAAAAAATACTTTAAAAATATAAGTATAAGGAGTAACAGTACAATGAACCTCATCGTTTCATAGAACATTATTACTATGAACTTTGAAGACCCTTTGTGGAACCCATTACTTTCCCTCCGAGATAGTTACTACACTAAATCTTGGTTTATTCTAATCATTCTTTTGCTTTTATAGTTCTACAACATATTTATGTATCCCTAAAAAAATACATTTTTTTTTTTATTTTTTAAAATGCTTTATTTAAATAATGTATTGCATTGGGCAAAGTTGCTGCAAAGACCTCTTTAAAACGTTTAAAAAGCAAAGATGTCACTCTAAGGACGGAGGTGCATCTCACCGAAGCCATGGTATTCTTAATCACCTCATATGCACGTGAAAGCTGGAAAATGAATGAGACTGAAGAATTATGTTGATGAAGAATATTGAGTATACTATAGGCTGCCAGAGGGAAAAACAAATCTGTCTGGAAGTACAACTAGAATGCTACTTAGAAGCAAGGATAGCGAGATTTCATGTAACGTCCTTTGGACATACTATCAGGAAGGACCAGTTCCTGAAGGATATCATGCTTGGTAGGTCAGTGAAAAAGAGGAAAACTTTCAATTAGATGAATTGATACAGTGGCTGCAACAACCGGCTCATAGTCATATTATGAGGATGGTGCAAAACCAGGCAGTGTTTCCTTGTTGTACATGGAGTCACTTTGAGTCAAAGCCAACTTGATGGCACCAAACAATAAAAAATATTTTTACTTCACATTTTTTAACTTTATAAAATGGACTACGCTTGTATTTTGAAACTTGCTTTTTCACTCAACATCATATACACAAAATTATTAGTACCAAATGCCACTTTTTTGCTTTTACAAACACTGCAGCTATGAATATTCATGTTATCTTCTGATAAACATGTAAGTCAAAGATATATGAACCTTAAGTTTTATTAGATAACGCCAAATGGTTTTCCAAATTGGTTGTACGTTTGCACTCCCACGAACAATTAGACCATTGTCACTGACACTTGAGGACTTTTTAATTTTTGCCAATCTGGTGGATGTGAAGTGGGTTTCATTGCATTTCCTTGATTAATGAGGCTGAGAAGCTTTTCATTGTTTATGGATGTGCTTTTCCTGTTCTGTTAAGTATCTTTGGCCCACTTTTCTGTCTTTTGTATTTATTTGTGGGAGTTCATCAATATGTTTTGTTGAGGATTTGTTTGTTTCTGTATTCATTTGGAGACTCCGTAGGCTGTGGAGTCTGGGTGGCTGTAATCTTTACGGAAGCAAGGCCTACAGCTTCCGCAGTGCCACTGGGTAGTTTCCAACAAGCACTTCTTGGGTTACCAGTAATGTGCTGACCTTCTGCGTCACGCAGGGACCTTTCAGCCGTAAATTCTGAAACAAGTAATGTCCTAATGTCCGAACAGCTGAAAATGCTCTGAAATGAGAAAGAACTGAGATTAGTTATTGGAAATTCCCAATAACTAACCTTAAACATTGCGCCTACCGCAGCCTTCTTGGTTGATCCATTAGAGCCTTATGAAAGAGCTTTAAACTCATTTCTCAGCTGATTTTCATCATCAACTTCGGCATCCCCTCCGGGAAACGTACCCCAATGTCTTCCCAGGTCCTTCCTAGCTACAGGTTCCAAATCCAATCTTGGCCAACCAATAGCAGGTCTCTCGATATTGTTACGCAAGAAGCCGCATCACGGCTCGCGATATTCTCGCGAGAGCTGATTCCCGCAGATCATGTGACAACACAAGATGGCGGCGTCCAGCGAGGCGGAAGAGGAGCGTGTCTTTTATTTGGTAGTGAGCGGTATTCCTGCGGGGTTGCGCTCGGCCCAGCTACGGAGCTACTTTAGCCAGTTCCGGGAGCAGTGCGGCGGTGGCTTCCTCTGTTTCCATTATCGTCATCGGCCTGAGCGGCCCCCTTCTCAGGCTGCTCCAGACCCTGCCCTAGCTCCCATCGATCCTGCCACTGAAGGCCAACTTCTCGCTCAAACTTCAGCCGCCGGTACCCGTACTCTCTTCGTCCGGGACTCGGCTCCAGTCCAGACCCGCACCTGTTGCTGCGTGATCTCGGTGCGGGGGGCAGCTCAGACCCAGAGGCTTCTTCGCATGTACTCGGGCCGCCAGTGGCTGGATTCGCAAGGGACTTTGCTGCCAGGTCGCTGTCTCATCCGCCGACTTCGGCTACCTACTGAAGCATCAGGTACGAATGAAAAAGACAGCAGACCGGGTCGACGGCCCCTGCAACAAAATCACCTTCCGGTGGCCGGGGGGTGGGGAGGTGGGGGTGGGTATAGTGAGAAGAATAAATCAGGCTTTCTGGTTCTGATTCATTAGGAGTTAGGTCATTTCTTACATTTCTAGAAGAGCTTCAGGATCAATTTGCACTTTAGTGTAGCTGTAAAATGGTAGTAATAGCGTCAGAACCTGTCTAACTTCAGGAGGGATAATGCGAGTCAAGATCAGTTGAAGGGTCATACCCATGAGGTGGAGGTCAGGCATCTCCCTTCTGTTCAACCTTATACTAATTCTGACACCGTTCACTCCTCCCATGACACTCTCTACTTCTCTTCTGGGTTTGATAAGCTGTTAGAACAGCCTTACACTGAACTCACAAACCGTACGTACAGTTAAGTCGTTTATTAAGGAAATGTTGTTGTTGTTGTTGTTATGTGCCGTCGAGTCGACCCCGACTCATAGCGACCCCTCCTTGGGTTTCCGAGGCAGTATCACTACGGAAGTAGGATTGCCCAACCTTCCTTCCGAGGAGTGGCTGGTGGGTTTGAACCGCCAGCCTTCTGGATAGCAGTCAAGTGCTTTTAGCCACTATGCTACCAGAGCTCCTATTAAGGAAATAAAAGGCTACAATTTAGGATCAGGATCAGGAAGCATGTAGGCAAAGTCTGGAAGGCTCTCTGGAAGTGGAGAGCACATCTCTCTATTCTTCAGTGCAAGACAGTTCTTTCGGCTCCTCTGGGCTATGCAAGCAAGCAGACCCTTCTGCAGGAATCCTTTTGGCCCCCTCAGGACAGGCCTCTCTACCTTCAGCTTCTGTGCTTTCACCACTGGCTCTGCTGCTGGGCCCCTCCAAACTTCTTGCTGTGTTCAGTCTTACAGCCCTTGACCTGTGTTACTGCTCTTTTAGGGGGTTCCTTTCCTCCTATCTTGTCTCCTTCTTCCCTCTTCTTGTCTGTCTTGCATTTTTTCCTTTATGCTTTCTTCTTCCTGCCCCTTATGTTTGCCAACCTCTGTGGAGTTGGCTGCATATGTAAGCAAACTCCTGGTCAATCTCAAGGCATAGACCTGTTATCAGGGCTAGAAACTGACCAGTCTCCTCTTGGTAGGCTGCAGATGCTCATTTGCATAGTAGGCGCTGTTGTTGTGATTAGGTGCCATCGAGTTGACTCTGACTCATAGCAACCCTATGTACAATAGAACAAAACATGTTCACCCCTGTGCCATCCTCACAATTCTTGCCATGCTTGAACCCATTGTGTTTTTTTTTTTAATTAGGATTTGGGTGAAGATTTACAGAGTAAATTCACTTTTCATACAGCAGTTCACATATACTTTGTCTCATGTCATT